ACTGTGAGATCATGACCTGAGCCAAAAGCAAGAGTCAGACACTTGACTGAGCTACCCGGGTGCCCCTAAAATCCAATTTTAAAAGCGACAATCTTCTAAGTAACCCCTGGCCCACCCTCCAATGACCTCCAAGGGTCTGTCTAACCTGGAGGTCCCAGGATCCAGTGGGAACCCCTCCCCGGCAGCCTAGCCACCCTCCACCCAGCCAGGGCACACGTGGAGGGGCCTCACCTCAATCCACCTGCCATCGTTCTCTGTAAAGAGGACACAGAAGGGGTCAGACTTGGAGGTGACATCCCGGTCCAGCAGGTTCTGGCCACTCACTGACAGTTCCACCTTGCACACACAATACTGGGAGCCCACGGGGGCCGCCCCCGCTGCCGGGGCGCCCCCACCAGGGATGTAGGCCATAGGGGTTGTCGGTGCTGGCAGCAGCTCCTGGCAGTCTGGGCAGGGAGAGAGGTGGGGGTCAGAGAGGGCACAGACATCCGCTCTCCCACCCTACCCCGAGGCAGTGTCACCAACTTGACCCTTCCAGATGCAGGTAGAGACGGAAGGAAAGGTGTGTGCATGGGATAACACAAGCAAAAGCTTGACTGAAGGAGAATGAAGAAAAACGGGTCCTTAGCAGGCATGTTTAGTTTGAAGGTATTATCTGTGCCGGTCAATTGTTACACACACAAGTCCAAGGTGCCGCTGCCAAATCAGCGACAGATCACAGTGGACGTGGGCACCTAAAATATTCATTTTGCCAGGAAAACCTAGGCTTCTCCTGAGCAATTAACAGTTTGGAATCGTGTGGCTACCGTGGGGCTTATCATTGCTCAGGTTTCCCTCATTGCTTTGGCCACTAGGAAGCTCACTTCTGATAACTTATCCAAAACTCAACTTTGTTCATTGCAGTCTTGTTCATCTTGTATCCTGGGCCAATGCACAGGGACTGAGGCACAAGGAGGCACTTAGTGTATGGCTTGTTGAATAAAAAAGAGGAACGCGTGTCTAAATCAGTGAACGGACAAACCCTCCACATGGCTCAGATTCTGCCTGAGTTGGTCATTATTCCCAACATAGAACTCTTCCGCTCGTACGTGACTTCCCCAGATTCCATGCCCAGGGCCTTATGTACCCTTCCACTGTCACAGCTAATTACTGGCATTTGCTTACGTTAAGCAGTTCTGTTTTCCAGCAAGCGCAAAGTGTTCATTTGGAGCAAGTGAAGACAAACCCATCTCGGGGGTGGAGGGGAGCTCTGGGTTCCGCCCATAACAAGGCCCTGCAGACAAGCCATCTGGCTCTCTGTGCCTCAGTTTCCACTTCTACCCACGAGACATCAAGATACAGCCTTGCCGAACTCCTGTGGTCAGGTCTCTTCCACTGGCTCGTGTGTAGTTAACACAAGCCCTGACCCCATGTGGATGAGGCCCTGACTAATATTTCAGCCCCTCCCTGCTGAGTGAGTAACCAGCCCTGTACTCCCCCAGGGGGGAGAGGTAAGAGAAGGGTGTTCCCTCGGGGGGAACGCGAACCCGACTTACTCACAGTGTTGACCACGAGCTGGGCACGTGATCTGCACCATGTCTCTAATTCTCATTCAGTCTTGTGGGTCAGGGACTAATATCACCCTGTTTTCCAGACAAGGACCCCGAGGCTCGTTCATCCACTTTAGAGTGTTTACTGAGCATCTACTAGGTCCCAAGAACCAAGCCAGGACTGGGATCCCGCAGTAAAAAGGCTGCCCAGTCTCAGCCCTCACAGCCTGGCTGACGGCTCGGGGAGAGCAGCCAGGTCCTGGGGGTACTGGGGCTTTGTTCTGAGTGATGGAAGTCTCAGAGGGTTTTAAGCAGAGAGGTGACATGACCTGATGTGTGTTTGGAAAAGCTGGCTCCAGCCCCTGTGGGGAGGAGGGGATGTTAGGCTAGGAGAGGCAGCAGGGGGGCTGGCGAGGAGGCTGCTGTCATCCAGGGAGGAGGGACCAAAGCACGCCCACCCGTCTCCCTCTGACCCCAGCCATAGCGCTGAGGCCATAGCCATGACCCCTGAGCGCCAGCCTCTGGCTGGGCAGACAGATGCCCCAGTCTGCGGGAGGCCCAGGCCAGTGTGGGGCTGGCACCAGAGGCCCCTCTCCCTCTGCAGACACAGCGAGACCCGGGCACGCCTGGGAGGATCCGGACAGTGGCAAAGCCAGTCCTCAGCCCTCTCCCTCCCACTGTCTGTCCCAACAACCTCATCATAATCACGCGAGCCCGGAGCGTCAGGGCAGCACTGCAATTTGCCTGCGGGATTTATTCTTGTCGTGTAAAAATTAGTTTCCACTGGAGGGGCCGGAGGACTGCATTCACTTTTCCCGCGTGCAGCTGGGTGGCCTTCCACGTGGGGGCGGGGTGAGCAAATCCTCGACCCAGTCAGGAGGGCGGAGGGGATAGGGACGTCCAAAAGGGACACCTTGCCGTGCGGCTGGGAGAACACCTGTTTGTGCTCACAGCCGCCCTGAGGTGGGGTGGGTCACAACAGTCACCCCATTTTACAGATGAGGAAGCTGAGGCCCAGAGAACAGAGGTCACCTGCCCGAGGTCTCACAGCCAGGTAACCGCAGAGGCAGGGCATAAGCTGGGTCTCTCTGGCCTCCCCAGGCCAATCTGCGTGCTTCTGGCCGGGGTAGGGGTGCTGCTGAGCGTGGTTAGGAACTAGGACCTGGGTGGGGACAGAGGGGAGTCGGCCAGGCAGAGAGAACCCCAGTTCCTCTGGAGTCGCACTGTCCACACTTCTGGGGTCATCACTGAGGGGGTGGGTTCCAGTTTACCTGCCTCCTCTGCACCTCACGGGCCCCCTTCGTGACACGCTAGACGGCCCCACAAGGGCCACCTGTCCCCTGCTGCCAAGTCAGAGGCATCTATTTTCCTCCTGAGGGTGTCAGGACGCACGCCAAGGCTGACACACTTCCTGTGCATGGACACACGTGTGTGAACACACACACGCACATGTACACACGCCCCAGACCAACACAGGCAAAGGCACGTAGGCCTATGAACACCGTGGGGCCGCTTCTCCCCTGCCCTCCCCCAGTCCGAGCCACTGTCGTCACTCCAGTGTCCCTGCGCTGTCCTCCTGCCCTACACCGGCTCCAGCCTGGCGGAGGGCATGGCAGGGAGGGCCAGGTCACAGGGGAGGGTCAGGCTGGGCCGAGCTCGTCGGACTCCACCGTGACTCCACCTGGTCTAGCTGGCAGGCCCTGGCTAGAGCGAGCAAGGGGTGGGCAGGGCAGGGGCACGTCTCCCCCAGCCAGGGCTAGGTTCCCCCGTCTCCAACTCACCCTCTGGCTGGAAGCTTCTGGATCCCCGAAATGGGGAGCACATGATGTCCGGAGTTGGGGCAGGCGAGGGTCAGAGTGGGCCCCTCTGTGCCAGCCCGGCAGCGGGCAGGCGGGCCGGACCCTGAGGCCTGACGCAACGGAAAAAGAAATCACAGCTTATGCTGGGCCAGGCCCCCTCCCCTCCTACTCCAGCAAGAGGGCAGGCGGGCAAGGTGTCATTAAGGGAGGGCTGGGCCTGCCATGCGCATCTGGGCGAAATGGAAACCTCCCTGATGCAGCACCCGCCCCACAGGTCATTTGAGGTTACGGGCTGCACAGGGGGCATGGCATGGGGAGCCAGGCAGGGCCTGCTCGCAGATGGTCCCGATTCTTGGCCCAGAATGGGCACGGGCCTTCTAGGGCGACCGGATCCCCAGGGAAGGAGCTGGAAGCCGGGGATAATACAAAACTAGTAGTTGCTTTTACGGATGGGTCGGCTGAGGCAAAGAGAAGGCAGGGCTTGGGGATTCCCATTCAGTCATTTCACAAACGTTCCTTGAGTGCCCTGCGGTGAAGAGTAACGAATGAACAAGACACAGAGGCCTCGGCCCCCACAGGCTCTAGTGGCCCCAGCTAATACATCTTGCCCTTTGGGGAGGACAGGACGGGATTTGGAGACGCTGGCGCTGAACCATAGATCTAGAACATTATGGTCTTAGCCAGAAACCTAGGAACCCATCATCCTTGCCCTCTCTTTCCTTCCCCCCGCCCCCCGCCACTACCCATATCCCCCTGCTGTGTAGATTCCACCTCAAGATGCAGCGAGCAATGTCCTTATCACCCCCTCCCCCCCTTCCGCTGCCTTGGCCCAGCCAGACCGCCATCATCTCACGCCCAGCCATGCACTGGTCCATGACAGATCTCCCGGAGCAACGAGGAGCCAGAGTGAGTCTTTACACATGCAAATCAGAGGCTACCACAGTTCTACCTAAAAATCTTCCAGTGGCTTCGCCTTCCAGGCCACACCAAACCCAAATTCTCTCCAGGCTTATAGGGCCCTGCTTGACCTGACCCCATCTCATGCCACCCTCCCCCTCCCCCTGTCTGTCCCAGCAACACGGGCTTCCTCCTGCTCTGCAAACAGATCAGCCTCTCTTCTACCTCAGGGCCTTTGCATTTGCTATTCCCTCTGCCAGATGTGCTTTTCTTCACAGGATGGGTCTTAGTTGTCAGAGGCCTTCCCTGGTCACTTGAGCTAATGCAATTTCTGTCTCAACACAATCACAACCACACTGTTCCCTTCACAGATCATTGTAATGTGCAGTCACTTTACTTGTCTATTTGCCTGTGTATTGTCTGTCTGGCCCCCTAGAACATAACCTCCACGAGGGAGGGATCATTCCTGCTTCTCTAGCACCTAGGGCGGCCTCTGCACATACCGAGTGCTAAATAAATGCTTGCCAATGAATGAGGGAGGGAGAGAGCCCACCATACAGGCTCTTTAATCTCCAGCCCCAGAGAAATCACAACCACGTCTCCCTGACATACATCACAAATATCACAAAGCCATTACTCAAACGCTGGAGCCTCAAGATTACTCCAAGAGGCCAGCAGGAGAGGGCCTCATATCCCACTTCGCAAGAGTGGAAACTGAGGCCCAAGAAGGGGCAGTGGTTTTTCTAAAATAGGGAAGGATGATGCTGAGGCCGAAGGCCACGTTGCCTGACTCTATCCTTTCACCCACTATTGGCTCCAGTGGTTCAGGACCCAGGGGCTGGGCTGTGCGCCTCACTCACTGCAGGGAGGAGATGGTGAGGCCAGAAGGGTTCCCGACTCAGAGATGGGCAGGGACAAGGAGACACCGAGAGGCAGGCACGGGGAGATGGGCAGTGGGGGTGGGGGAGGCAGACAGCTGAGCTGGAGACCTGGAGAGCCAGCTGGGGAAAAGAGGGGATAGAAGGGAAGGGAAGGGCTGACCGAGGTGCTCAGGGAGGCAGCAGCCCCCACCCCAGAGTCTCAAGTGGTGGGGACGACGGGGCAAGTGTAACAATGGGACGGCCTATCAGGACTTCTGGCGGGGGGATCATGTGCTGCATGAAAAAGCGTCTTCAACTTGATATTT